TCACAAGGAGGGACTCCACACCGTCTATCTGAGGCACAGTGGTCTCCCTAGGACAAAGGATCTCCCTTATAATGACCGCTACCCCCCCGCCCCTACCCCGGGTCCTCGGCTGATGAAATGCCTGAAAACCCGGCGGGCAGATGTCTACAAGAGGGACTCCTCCCTCAACGCCCAGCCAGGTCTCAGTGATACCCGCCAGTGATATCCTTGCAGCAACTTGACAGCATCACTAGGAGATTCCATGCAAGTCACTCTTTGTTTTCCACATTGTTTACCTTATTCCATGCAACAAACTAGCCCTTTCCAAAAAATTTTATAGTTATAGCACTTTGCATATATTATTCATACTAATAATTGCTCAATTTCTTTTCATTTGGAATTACACAGGAGAGCTAGTGTTTGCTTATGCTGACCAAAAGTCAGTGCAGATAAGATTACAACTTAGCAAGAACAGTCAGGGAACTCTGATGCATTTGGCAAGCAGAAAAGAGCATCCTTTATTTGATTCCTCTCTCAGTTTCCATACTGGATACAGAAGAGGGATGTTGTTCCTCTTGAACTTCATGAGTTCTCATGGTAGATGCTTAACCATAAATCCATAAAGGAGTTGGTGTCTTAGTACACGTGATTTCTGGGGCAAGATACTCAATTAGTGATTGTTTTTCTTTTGAAATGTTTTCAGTTACTCTGAAACAAGGCTTTTGAAAGTGTTTGAAGATATAAAACATTCGCCTTTTGTAAACTTGATTATCATGAGGCATGTCCGTACTCCCATAGTGCCAAATTCAGTGGAGTTCCAATAATAGTTCCTATAATGCAGTCATGCAGCATACAGGTAGTGGGGCTCTACAGTCCTCAACTTAGGACCAGTACGTTATGGTGGATTTATCTTTGAACTACTTACGACCAGATTCAAAGTTCATTTGATCAGCAACACAATCACATTTATAGCCAGAGTCACATAATTACATTTTACAATGGTTTTGCTGAAATCCAGCACCCAGTTTTTGGCAAAATCACACCATAGCAAATAATAGATTCGCTTAATAACTGTGGCGGCCACTTTACGATCGCCATGTTCTCTTAACGACCGCCCCAAAAAAGGTCATAAAATCAGGTTGGTCACATAACTGATCTGGTTTACAACCATCACAATTTACAACTCTAATGGGCAGGCTCCATTACAGCTGTAACATGATGATTACTTGTATGTTTAGTTTGCCATTTACGTAATAGCATAGCAATTTATTTATTATTTTTTTTTCTGGAAATGTACCTTATATCGTCCAAGTTAGTGCACTTACTCCACTGAAGGATAGCTTTTCCAACTGCCATCATTCTTTCCACTGTCAAAATATGGTCAGAGAAAAGGAAGAAAATTAGATTTCTGAAGTTCAGCCATTCAGTGCTACAGACATATTGCTAACTCCTGTTTAACGTCGCTGGAATTTATTTTTAAATAAACCCAATTCTGAGGACATCTAAAATAACAGAGTTATGTTTTTAACACGTCACAAATTAATTTGCTTATATGTTTGTACCCAATTACACATAAATCAGCCTTCATTAAAGGATTCTTGAGACATGTATAAAAGTTTAAATAAAACTATTCGTGCAAACATGTATGTATTATGAAAAGAAACAATATCCTGAAACCTAATTAAGCAGAATAAAAGCAGGTTGGAGTTTGGAAAAAAGTATATTTTTAACAAGGCATTTGAAAAAGTGCAGGGGCAACTTTAATTTATCCTTGGGGTAAGGGTGAAAAGCATGGTTAAATGTGGGTACCAAGAAAAAAAGACCCCATACTTTTAAAAACATATATGCACCCAGATATTATTCAACACAACATAATTTATTAACATGTACAAGCCCAGCCTGACTCTAGAGAGGAAATGGACATATGGTAACTCACAACATACTCCACTTATGCTGACCAGACTTCTTAGCCCATCTGACTTTGTGTGCATTTTAAAAGATTCATTTAATTAAAATATTGAGTAAAAAGATAGCATTCTGCAAAGGGCTTGCCTTAGCTGTATATTTATTTTCTCAGAAGTTTTGGGACCTCACAACAATACCATTGAAATTGAGAAATCATTTTAGAATATCTAGAGAAATCATTTTAGCTCCTAATAAATGAATAATTTGTGATTTCCATTCCCCTCATGGCAGCAATTCTATGAGTGAAGCTACCATATGCTCCCATCTGTTCAAACATGTCTCCAGCTCCAAAAGGGTTCTCCCCAATCCCTAAAAATTAAATACTAAACCTGTCAGGCCCCAAGAACCAAGAAAGACACAAGGAGTTATTTCTGAGCAATTCCTTTATTGTTCCTCACCTACAGACACAAATCTTGCCAAACTAAGCAACTATTTGCATCACCATAGATGTACTCTGGGAATCACTAGAGAAGAGCTGTTTTAACTCTTTGTCTCCTGACCAAACTTTCCATGCTTTGCTGCCTCTTTGCCCTCTAGAATGCAGCCCCTCCCTCCTGGGAATCTAGGCTACATTCCCCCACACAACCCTACCAAAATGGGGGTGGGAGGGTTAGTCTTGGTTAACAGATACAATGGGATAATTGTTATTTGGTAACATATTCAGCTCTGAGTTGTCCTGATACTGATGTCTAATCTTGCCTTGGCTCATCCATATATGTGGAGAATGTAAACCAATAATAAGAGTTTTAGACTGATTATATACTGTCAATTCAGTGTTGACTTTTAGCTACCGCATGGATTTTCTTCTTTCTCCATGCCAATATTAAGAGAGGTGATTCTCCACTTACATAATGGTATATGCTCACTCTTAAGAGTCTTGCAATTTCCAATGTGGTTCTTTGGTAACACTAAATAATGATGAGGCGCTCCTGGTCTGATATCTCGGAAGCATACCAAATCTTCATACTAAGGGAATATTTGAAAAAAGAATGTGTTAATGAAATTGGCTTACTGACAAGCTGCAAGCCATGAAAGAAACAGCTTCATTGGGAGCTACTGGAAATATCATTCTTCCCGAGAAAATGCAAATGTCGATCCAATACATACTTTGTCTTATTTCCCATTTGCAATATTCATGAGGAACTTTTCCTTAAATTGATTCTCAGGCAGACTGACAGCTAGGGTTTTAGCATAGCACTAGCACCCCCATTTGGATACAACTATTTTATAGATTAAAGTATATCAATAGCATAACAACAACTGACAACATCTAAAAGCTAATTGTAGAAGAGAATATTTGTAGCTCAGAGTTTAAATCAGGGGTGTCAAACTCGCAACGTCACGTGACATGACGTATCGTGACTTTTTTCCATTGCCGGCAATGGGGTGGGCGCAGTTTCGGCATGACGCATCCGGCCTGTGTGCTGGCAGTTTGACACTCCTGGTTTAAATGAATTATCCAACTAGGTAATAGCATCATTGCAAGTGATTGTGGGGTTTGCTACCTGTTTATATGCAGTAGCTTATCTTACAAGTTTGGGTGATGATGTAATTTCCTCCTTCTAAGGAGGAACTTAATGATGCTACCTACTTAGGTAGTAAGTCTTCTGCAAATCACCAAGCTCAGGGAGTACCAAAGACTCCAGTAAAGGCTTACATTTTGAACTGCATCATGACATATTTCAATAGCACCCCCAAGTCAGGCTTAATTATTAATATCCATTAGCCCTAGATCAGCAGACAGGCAAAAAAGGCACAAGTCAAAATCAGTGACAGATGGTTGCATTAAGAAATGTAAGAAAATGAGGACAACACTTTCCTAAGTTGCAAGTCAGCTGATGTCAAAAAATAGGAAGAGATGACAAGACAGTCAGAGGTAGAAATTTGTTAACACAAATGAATCATGTTTTCACTCCTAAATTTCACCTTTTTGAGGATATTAACTACCATATGCCAGATATTGTGTGAAACTGTAATATAAATAAACCCTAGCATTATTCAATGCTCTTAATCTCTACGTGTATGTCTATACACCCACACATGCACATATACATATGTACTGTAGTCATGAAATATAAAATCCACCAAAATTTACTCCCAGAGAGTCAGTTTGTTGTAGTGGTGAACGCATCAGGCTAGAAACAGGGCAGTCATGAGTTCTAGTTTCTGCTTTAGGCACAAAGTCAGCTGGGAGACCTTGAGCCAGTCACTCTCTCTCAGCCCTGGGAAGCAGGCAATGGCAAATCACCTCCAATACCCTCTGCCCAAAAAGTATTTATTTCCAGAGCAAGGACAGAAAGTGGTATGTTTTCTATGACTACTCCTGCAATTGCTGCACTATCTAACAAGAGAGCAGGCAGGCAGGCAGGCAGAACAGAACATTGAAAGATCCCAAATGGATCAGGCCACATACTTATCTGGTTCATTTTGTGTCCCACAGTAACCATTAAGATGCATTTGGGAAGCTTCCAAATGCATGGGCTGGAAGGGAGCAACTTAGTATTTAAGGCATGCTGCCTATGAATCAGGAAAATAGCGAACAGGCAGGCATCCATGCAGTAGCCACCGATACTACCCGATCCTCCCTAGTCTCCTTTAAAACGATCCAGCCGGTCTGCCCATGCCTACAACTGCGAATTCCAGCTCAACCATGCTCCATTTCCCATCACAGTATCCAGCCCAAGAGGCGATGACCGGCTCAGCCACTGTCTTATCTCCGGCAAAGAGAAGAGTTTTCCACCGGTGGGCTATTGAAAAAGAGGGATTTTCCCGCAGTTCCCTAATGAGGGAGGGCTATCACTCTCTCTCTCGCCTTGCCTCCGCTTCTGTTGCAAAGCAAACCCCTCCTGGGTGGGGTTTTGCCTTCCAAGGAGAGCCGGCGGCATTCGGCGCCCCTCCTTAGCGCAAGGTGACCTTACGGCATCAATCAGTCAAAAGGGAGCCGATGCCCAAAGCCTCTCGTCCTGTCAACTCCCAGGACAGATCCGGGTTGGGACCTGCGCCAGGTTCAAGCCGGGCACAGGGGGGTTTGTGGCACCTCCTCGGAAGGTTGCCGGTTGTCCTCACCTCGCAAGGCAGCAGCTCAGTGCCCGTCTCCTCCCCGTGGGTGATTCGGCAGAAAATGCACTTGCTGTCGTAGCCGCCGTCCTCTTCTCCCGGCCTGCCGGCACCGGCTATTGGCGTGGCAGCGGGAGACGAGCCCGAACTCCCTCCTTGCTCCCCGGCCATCTAGGCTTGTCTTTTGAGCAGGCCACCCGCTCGGTCAGCGACCCGGGAAGAGGGAGGGCTAAGCAAAGCCCGCGACCGCCATTTGCCTCCGCCCTTTGTCATCGCGCTAAGCTCGCCAGCCTATGGAGAGAAGGCAAAGAGGCGGCCCTTGATTGGACCTGCAAAGCAGGCAGGGATCAAAACCCACGCTTTGCTTAACTAGAGAAAAGGCTTGGGCAGCCGGTTTGCCTTTGACAGAACTGCTCAGAACCACAATCTCCCCCTCCCGATCTCATTCCTTCCCAAGTCCATTGGAGTTGGGAGAGGAAGGAAGGAAGGAAGGGATTTCATTTCCATTTCCCAGGTAGGCGGGAACAATTCACAATGCTTCTGCACCCAACTGATGCTTCTGCACCCAACTGATTTATATTTGGCTTTTGCTCTGCCAACGTATGCATTGTCAGCTGTAAGGCCTTCTGTAGCAGGGGTCTCCAGTATCCGGCCGCAGCATGCTAGCAACCGGTCCGCCCAAACAAGCAAAGCCCCATCCGCGAGATGCAGACAGCACACAAAACCACACATTCTCCGGTCTGCGGAAAAACTTCTCTCCATGGAACCGGTCCCTGGTGTCCAAAAGGTTGGGGACCTCTGTTCTCTAGAGAGGTGTGTGCCTTTCCAAATCGTGTTCAATCAATTTAATTTACCACAGGTGGTCTCCAGTCAAGGTGTAGAAAGATGTCAGCAACGATCAAGAGAACTGGGAGGCATCTGAGTTAAATTTCAAGTGTTGTTGCAAAAGAGCTGAATACTTATGCCAATGTGATATTTCAGTGTTTTCTTTTTAATAAATTTTCACTTTGTCGTTATGGGGTACTGATTATAGATTAATATGAAAAAAAATGGATTTCAATAACTGTAGAATCAGACTGTAGCATAACAAAATTGACAAAAGTGAAAGTGGCCTGAATACTTTATTTGAATGCACTTTACATCTATATTGATAAAGATTCTAGATACATGTAGATCCCAGTGACTTTGGCATGACAGAAGTGGCCTTATCTTGGGAAATGCATTTTCTTAGCTTATTTATCAGCCAGTCAGCATCCTCAAATTAATCAGACTAGAATTTAATAAACCAGCTAGGATATCAAGGAGAGTGAAGGAAACAGTGAAGGAAAGAGAGAGCTATAGTTTGTAAAATCCTAAATTGCACATAGGTGTACCTGCAGATCCACCAAATCTAATTTTGATGTAATTCATATGCTATAGACACACATATAGACCCTCTATTGACAAGACCACCTTATTATCCATTTCCAAGGTCAAATTGAAGTCACATTCGCCTGCACACAGCCTGACAATCTCACACAGGAGGGCCACACCAGTTCTGCCAGAGATAAGCCATATAAGTAACAGACATCCTCACCATAGCCTGGTCATAAATGCTGGAGCATAAAGGTTCCCATGGATCCCCAGAAATTCATCACTGCACCGCTGATGAACAGTCAATAAATTATGAACAGAAACTGTTCCACCCCCAGCTCTCACTTTTCTTGCAACTTACATCCACAAAACACACCCTCAATCCATGTCTTGGAAGAAACAAAACAGAATGTAGGATTTTGTAGAGATGTTTAAATATATAGAGAGGAGAAAAAAAGTTCAAGATAAATACACAGAAATGCTTAATTCCTTTATTTGAAAATGTTGCGGTAGCACTGCATTACATATATTCAATATCCACAGTTTTTGAAGGATCGTAGAATTTTGGTAGTACAACACTGTTTGGAATATATAACACATTTCTGACAACTATAATGAATAAATTGCAGGTAACAGGACTGGGATAGTTTGGGTATTAAAAATCTTTTGCTTGAAATGTGCAAATGCCCCATCTTTTAGTAAAACCATCTTTCGGCCAAGTGTTTCAATGTGTTAGGAAATAGCAGCTCATTGTTACAGTTGTGATCTATCAGTAGCATGAATGGTCAGAATACCTATTGGAAAGAAATGCAAAAAGCTACTGTCCCAGGTCTTAGCATATATCGTAAGGCTGAAAATCAAGGCTATTACTTCTGTGCTGGAATTAAGTTTGTACAGTACACGTGATAGATGCAATTTACTTTGCTTTTTATTTACATGCTGCAGCAAGCTTTAGTTACCAATGTATTTTCCATTGCAACTGTGTACTCTAAAACAGATGTGTGTTTGCCCAATGTGATTATGTACACAAAGTTTTGTAAACACTTCACTGTATCAGATAGTAACTTACCGGTATATGATAAACCTAAAATTCAACTGCTAAATTCCCTTTAATTTCTGCAAATAAAGTACAATTAATTTCCGCAATCTAACCCATCCATATAAAGTGAAAGAATGAAAAAAACCACAATTTCATCAACCTTAGACTGATTCTAATTTATTTAGGTCTACTCCTGATTATTCCCATGTTAGCTGAAAATAATGTTGTGAATAGAACATTGCTGAAAAGCACCAAGCTTTAATAACAAGCTCACAGACTAGATGGATTTTGCACAGTTGCTTAGTGAAAGCACTAAAGTATCGCAGACAAAGAGTAGGATCAACACTTGCACAGAAGTACACTTTAAAAAAATCCCTACTCACATGTCAGCTTAATTTGAGTTTTTTTAAAAGAAATGTCAAGGACCCCAAATCTTCTGATATAAACTTTAGGAATAGAGTTTACAATAGAGAGAAGCAAAAAACAGAAAAACATTTTGGATTAATTGTAGCCCAATTCTTACCAAATGAATGAATATTCTCAGCTAAACGTTTGGTTATATGTAAATGTGGTCCAAATAGCTTTTTTTAACGGGAATGAAATATTATTATTTTGCTTTAAAAACAATTAATACCTGGTTGAAAATATTCAGGGAACCCAATTTTTTATTTGAAAAGTTAAGTAAGGGTTACATGGTGCTAATTGTTTTTCTAGCAAAGGTTTTAAGTAATTTGCAAGGAATTACTTAAAAGCCCACTTTCTGTTTCAAACTACATGACTTCATTATCCAAAGATATTTCTATCTTGACAGCCAATTAAAAACAAGATCTCTCTCTCTCTCTCCCTCCCTCCCTCTCTCAACATATCCTCCAATTGAAAGAACAAAGGGCAGTAGCTATACACCTGTTTGAAATAATCCAGAATGTGTTCTGTCAAAAAACAAGATCCCAAAACTAATGACTAAGATGTTTTTACAAAATTAAAAAAACAAAATATAAAAACGCTTAAGAATTCAATTTTTTCACTCACCACTGTTTAAGACAGGGGTGTCAAACTCGCCACGTCACGTGACGTGTCGTGACTTTTACTCCATTGCTAGAGCTGGGGTGGGCGTGGTTTCAGCATGACGCATCTGGCCCGTGGGCCGGCAGTTTAACACCCCTAATTTAAGATATTATTTCAAATGATCAATCTTTCTAGAAAATTCTGACATTTGAAATATTAAAAGGAAAACGGGCCTAGTAATATACTTTACAACCAATAAATATACTTAAAAATGTCTTTTAAGTGCTGTATACACAATTACTACTTTGTCAAGTAAACTACCACTTTAGACTGTAGAATTTGGTAATGCAACTATTCCCTCTTTTTGGTTTTCACTTTCACTGAATAAAAATACGCAGAGAATATACTATACAACTCTATGTTTTTCCACAGTATTCTTTCACAATTACAAAAAAGGATACTATTTTAAACAAGCTCATATATATACACATCACAACTGTCTTCCATAAACATCTTGCATTCATATTGCAGAAATGGTGACAGGACAAGAATAAGTTATTGACTAAGTTGCCTTTTTTAATATAAATCAATCTCTCCTATTTTGCCTCAGAATCTTGTATAACCATTGAACTAGCCTGACTTCCAGGGCTATTCTACAGCAAAGCAATTACATTCCACTTTTTGATGTCCACTGAGTGGTCAGGAAAGCAAAGTCCATTTGTTTAAGGCAACAAGATCATTCAAAAGTCCATATTTCCAGATCCTGTACAACAAAGTCTTCTTTTTTGGAGAGAATATCATTGTTGAATGTGTTGCAAGAGTTACTCCGACCATGATACAAATCAGCATCTAACCATAATCCAAATTTGCCACTGTAAAGAAAAGAAAATTAACTAGAAAGTTTCATTTGTTCAGTTATAGGCAAAATGCAGGAAGATTTTTTGTTTTGCATTTCAGTGTTCCATTTACGTTAATAATAAGACCTAAAAAGCACTAAATTTTTTCAAGTAGAATAAGCACAACTTAATACATTTGGATGAATTCTGCTGTTAATTTTTAACCAGAAACAGGTTGTCTCTGATAGCAACCATTATTTTAAAAAAGGAAGAATATCTAAATTTTAAAATATTGTTCTGTATATAAACATATGGAACCATACAATAAGCCACATAGACTTCTAATGTCAATAGAATGAGGCAAGCATATTTGATTGTTTTATTCAAATGTCTGGACTACTTAATCAAAAGAACAGTATCTTTATCCATTGTGTATTTATGTGTCAATGAAAAGTAGGAAGTACAGCTAATCCTTGTTTAACAATCATACATTTAGCGACTCTTTGAAGTTAAGCCAGGATTGAATGAATGGAGCTTGCCCATTCCCCAAAGTTACAAGCACAGGTCCTGTGATCAAAAGTCAGATCCTTGGGCAGCCTGCCCATAGTTACAACTCCAGGGGCATTTCAACTTCCAAGTCAGCGTATCTCTCCTCCATCTCTGTTCTTTTCCCCACTGCAGCAGCACTTCTCTGTAGTGGCAGTAGTGCTGGGACTGAATTAGAAGACCTTCAGCAGTTTCAGCCAGCCATCACCACCCCGGGAGGCCTCTATTTCAGCTCCAGCATCGCTACAGGGGAGTGCAGTTTCAAGCCCCATGTTTCAGCCAACCAGCTGCGTGCCACACCAGAGCCACTCCCACCGCCCTGAACTCCACAGGCCCTGCAATGCCCAGATGACTTTCATCATCTTCCTTCTGCTCCTGAGAGGCCTCAAAAGCTTTCTGGAGGCTTTCCTAGGTATCGTGAGAATAGTGCATGAAACCTGAGGAAGAAGACCTGGTGTGATCATCAGCTGCCTTGTATAGAGCCAGGCCAGGCGTGCTTCATCAGTAGGAGGAGGAGGAAGGTGAAGGGCAGCTGGGTGTGGTAGGTCCTGCAGATTACAGCGTGGTAGAGCCTGGTGGGATTTTGCTATGTGGTGCCAGAGTGACTGGCTGAGGCACAGTTTGAGAGAACACTTGGTGGCAGTGGCACTGGGACTGAAGTAGAGGCCCAGAGGCGGGTCAACATGAAGACTACTAAAGGCTCCAGGGTCTCTACTTCAGTTCCAACAATGCTTCTTAGGAGTGCTGCTAAGCAAAGTGATTAAAAGGGCAGAGATGGCAGGGGAAATGGGCAGGTGGGAGACTTGAACAAGAAGCAGTCCTTTACCTTGCCAAGGCTTGGGGCTGGGAGGGACCAAGCTGAGAATGGCTTGGATCAGGGTGACTCCTTGTCTAACGACAGGTGGAATTTAGTTAATGAGGGCAACATGGATTGCTGGGATTGTCATTGCTAAGCAATACATTGTGCTTTATGACCACATTGCTTAGAGATGGAAATTCCAATCCCGACTACTGTTGTTAACCAAAAACTACACATATGCATTCATCCAAAACTTTATTCATTGGTCTCTTAGAAAAATTGTTTTTGAAGCATAGTTGGCTGCAAGCACACAGTTCTCACCAATACGATTCATAATTTCAGAAATGTAAATAACTTACTCTCCACCGCCAAATTCTAAGGAAGTAACATCTCCATTGATAAAATAGGTATTTTCTCCACTCCACTTAAAATTCTGTGGGAAATAAGGCATTAAAATTAATAAGTAAGATTGTGCTAGCAAAGCTATATGCACATTGTCTTATTACATCAGGAGGAACAAAGTTAGGAGGAACAAAAGAAGAAAGACAACTACACAACCACTCATTCAATGATCAAAGTTGCAATGTTTGATCAGGTGTTGACTTCTGATGAAAAAATGATTACAAAATTGTATAACTTTTTATTGAATTTAAAAATGGAAGACGAACAAGTGAAAGAAACAATAATTATATGGGCAAATTTTTTTGGATATAACATAGAATTAGAGAAATGGCAAAATCTTTGGGAAAGAAATTATAAGCTGACAATGGCTACTTCATATAAAGAAAACTTATATAAAATGTTCTATAGATGGCACTTGTTAGGTTAGCAAAAATGTTTAAAAATATGTCTAGTAAATGTTGGAAATGTAATCAAATTCCCAAATAGTATCACTTGTGGTGGACATGTGTTAAAGCAAAAAAGTTTGGACCAAAATACATACTTGGTTAAAAAAAGATGTTAGGGAAACATGTAGATTTTAAACCTGAACTTTTTTTACTAGGCATAATGCCAGAAAAAATGGATAAACAAAATATATATTTAACACTACATATACTAACAGCAGCAAGGATTGTATTTGCACAGCACTGGAAAAATGAGATAACACCATAGAAGGAAGTAATAATTAAGAAAATACTGGACTGCCCAGAAATGGATAGATTCACACTGAGAATTAAAGAAAAAGAACATACAGAATACTTTCAAACATGGAACTTATTCTATTAATGGTTGGAAAAATGAGATAGAGAGTAAGAACTTAACTTTTATGACTCAGCAAAAATCAACCCAGACAACACGCTCATTAAGCACAAATAAATTGTAATGATAAAAAATTAATAAAATACTTTTTTTTAAAAAAGTTACAATGGTGCCCCATAAGTGGTATTACAACTGGTCTTCAAAGTTCCAGCAAGTTGCAGCACCCCCATGGTCACATAACAATTTAGAGACCAAAGAGAAAACCCAACCATATGAGCTAATTATACAAATCGTCCTCAACCCTATGACCATTCATCCAGCAATAGTTCAAGATTATGACGATGCTGAAAAAAATGAACTTACAACCCATGTCTGAAATTACAGCCGCCGTGGTGCCCCTATAGGCACCTGATCAAAACCTGGGTGCTTGGCAGCTCACCAGCACTTACAACTTACAGAGGTGCTGCCATTCCTCCCATCCACCAATCTCCCCACAATATATGTCCTCTTGACTGTCCACAGCCCTCAACTTCAGTCCAAGGGCTGCCACCGCTACTACTGAGAAATGCCACCTCATCACCCACACCAGCAACATTATGTAAAGTCCCAGTTGCCCTCACTGCTCTGCACTCCGTAGGCTCTGCCACACCCAGCTGAGTTTTTTTTCCCCATGGCTCACAAGGGATGCTTGGTTGTGTGCAAGGCAGCTGCTGGATATACCAGGTCCCCATGGCCCCATCCCTGCTGGCCTTTCATAAGACATTGAAGACCTTGTTATAAACCTGAGCCTAGGCCTGAGCCAAATGTGTGAAGGGACCCATTTCCTAATTATATCGACATCCGTTAATGATGTCTATGGAGATTCTCAGTCATCCATGTCATGGTTGTCCCAAAGTTGATTTTTCAGGAGGCAATTGGACTTTCTTGGTTTTCTTTGAAAATGTTTTGCTTGTCATGCAAGAAGCTTCTTCAGCTCTGATTGGATGGAATGGAAGGGAATGGAAGGTGACCCTGAGGACATAGGTAGACCTCCAAATGGCCTCAATGACTCTCTAAAAGAATGCGAATGACCAGCTGTCTGCAAGGAATATAAATCCTTCCATTCCCCACCATTTAATCAGAGCTGAAGAAGCTTCTTGGATGAGAAGCGAAACGTCTTCCAAGAAAAACAAGTAAGTTCAGTTGCCTCCTGAAAAAGCAAAGTACAAAAGTAAATATAAGGCAGCCAAGAATAATTATCATGGATGTCTCAACATCCATGATAATTATTCTTGGCTGTCTTATATTTAGTTTTGTACTATACTGTAATTGCTTTCAATTGGTTTATGAATGTTCATCATCCAGTCAGTTTCTGAGATGTGCAGCTATAGAAATTAAATAAATAAACAAGTGTTTGAATATTCCTGAATTATTCCACCACTCATGGCTCACAAACTAATATCACTACATTCAAAGAGCATGCCAAACCAAAACTACAGACACACGTGCGCACGCACGCACACACACACACCTTCAAAGGTTTAGCACACAATGAGTAAATCACATTGTTCTCATATAAAAGTATTCAACTGTATCCAGAAACATACCTTGAAAATAGGATTGAATGTGTACAGAAAAGTTTCTCCAGTACCATAATAGTGGTCACTAAGTCTGAAAGCATGAGTTGCATATGCCCCAAATATCTGCCAAAATAATATGTAAAACAGATATAATTTTAATGTGGAGATATTTATAGCCAGTGTACAAATGAAAATTATACTGTATGTCACTTGACTGCAATTTCTAAATGGAAGTGGAGATATGAATACTGAATTATCAGTAATCAAGAGCTTGTAAATCCTTAGCTTCATCTCTCCATATTCATACATAAAACAGGCAAAATATACCGAAGTGTTTTTCATGTCATCTTGTGAATCAGACTTGGCAACTTTTAAAATTCCATCATTCCCAATTAGCTTAGGAACACAGTAACAGGTTGGAGAAGGCAGTAGTAAAAGAAACCTAAATCAATGAAATAGTTTTTACAGCAAGAAATTCAGAGGATTTACATAAAACAAAGT